GTCTTTTTAGGAAATGTGTAACCTCTTTCCTTGCTGTACCTGCTCCACTTCACCCTTGAGGTGATAACTGCACTATCCCCACACACCTCTATTACTGGGTCTAATTTTAAGAACTGTTATTTGCTCCAAGGAACCTTTTCATTTATAATTGCAGGCTTGCAGTGAATCCTCCTTCTGAGCTCTTATTTTGTGCAGTTTAAAACTAACTCTGCCTCTTAATTTGATCTGCAAACTGTAACATCCACAGGTCAGATCATTCTCATTCTTCCAGATCCACCTCCCAGAAACGAGCTCTTAATTTAATTCTCCTTGTAAAAGGCAGTGGTAAGAGAACCTGCAAGCTGCACCTTGTCATAAACCAACCAGGACCAAGAACAGCCTAAAAACAACTCGTGCTGCCTGAGGCAGACACGCAAACCCCTCATTTCCCACAAGAACCAATCTGTTTGGAGTGGGGGAGCATCCAAAACCGCTTGGAAGGGAAGTCAAGAGGTTTACTTGAGTAAGCACACAGAGGCCACAAATTTCAGCCTGCCCTGACCTGGACACAGCCCACAGAGTCACCTCCTTGCTCCTACACAAAGCCAAGCCATGTACATGTAAGCAGGAACAAACTCCTCCAGCCCCTCCAGACAGAGGGAGCACTGGAACCACAGGGATGCTGAACAGCTGCTCCTTTCCCTGTTAAACATGTCCATCTCCTTCCCAGCTGAGTTCTTCTCCAAGTCTGGCTTCCAGCAGATTTATCTCGTATTTTTAGTTGCCTTTCACAACTCCCATCCCAGCCCTTGTCCCACACGTTGGAGCCTGCAGGTCTCCTCTCCCAGCACAGTGAATGAGATGGTCCTCTCCCTGAAAGGGTCAAAACCCTCCTCGAGGCTCAGACAGGCTTGAAAACAGCCCCTACTTAACCTAATGAAGTCCCTGGAAGGCTCTGGGTGAAATCTCCAGCAGTTCAGCACAGCCACGGGGTCACAGCCACCCTGTGGGAGCAGAGCGGGGCCGGCAGCAGGATTTCCAGCTCACGCTCCTCTCCGTGCTCTGTTTGTTGTGCAACTGCTGCAGCATTAAATCAGCCTTTCCCCACGGGGTCAGACTATCCCGTTCTCCACCTCCAAGCCCTGTCACTGTTGGGAGCAGAGCAAACACAGCTGGTGTTTACCCACAGCAGCTCTTCAGCCACCCGCTGCCTCGGAGGACAGCGCACAGATGCTCCTTCACATCTGCTCCCCGCACAGCTTCCTCTGGCAGCAGCAGCACCTCACAGCTGGGATTTGAAGCCTCGTTGCCAGCCTTCACACTTGATCAATTGATCATTTTTTTTCAGGAATATCAATGCAGGAGGATGATGGTTGCCCCCGTGGCAGCTGGTCACGGCACTGTCCCCCCTCCCTCTTGCAGGAGGCATCGCTGACCACAGACACACACCTCGCTCTGCTGCTCCCAATTTAGATTGGATATTAGGAAAACATTTTTGTGGAAAGGGTTTTAAAGCAATGGAACAGCTGCCCAGGGAAGTGGTGGAATCACCATCCCTGGAAGCGTTCAAAGAACATGTGGATGTGGCACCTGAGGATGTGGTTTAATAGTGAACATGGTGGTGGCTGGGTTGATGGTTGGATGTGATGATCCTAAAGGTCTTTTCCAACCTTAACAATTCCATGATTCTCCCCAGCACTTGGTACAGCCCAGTGGCTGCCAATCCAGGCACAGCCACAACCCTTTCCCAAACAGCACATGGCCCGTTACAGCTGCAGAGAGCCAGATCAACATTCCCAGTCAATGCCCTGGGTAAACAACAGCCATACAGAGGCAAATTCTGGAGCTGCCCAAAATGGATCTGACTACACCTTTTTTCCATCTGAAAATTCTGGCTCGGCTAAATCCAAATGGTTCCACAAACATGGCCCACTTTGTTTCCAGAATTTAAAGGGTAATAATTAAAACCACTGATTAATTCCAGTATTAGAGATGCTGAAGTCAACACACTTTTGCTGAGGATTAAACAAATGATTTCAGAATACTTAGTTTTGTGCCCAGAAGTGCTCCAAGACTGTAGTTTTTATCCCATTTTCTGTCAAAGGGAAATCATATTTAAATCTCAGTACCTCTTAAGGTGAAAAGTGACAGTTACATCAGTTCCAGGAAATACTTCCTCTGTTTCTTCGGGGTTTTGACAGAAGATATTTTCTCATTTATGCCTCTTCATTTACTTGCTCCTCTGCTCCCATCTCATGAATGTCATCCCTGGGGACATGGCATCACCCTGCAGGAACATGGGGAGCTGGTTTGTCTCTGACTCAGAGGAAAAACATTCACTACTGAGAACTTCAATCGTGTTTTCCTCTCTGGTGACAGAAATCAGCAGTACAAACACTCCAGAAAAACAAAGGAAGAAGCAGAGGTTTCTGCAAAAAATTTCGTTTCCTTCCAAAAGGGAAAGATATTGTTCCAAAAATATTTAAGTTTCCTCACCCATCTCTGCCCTCCCTCCTTCCCCTGCTGCCAAGGGGCTGGTTTTTCCTGGGATGCTGCAAGAGGTTTGCATTGAGGTGTCCAATTCCTTTTTTTCCAGAATAAAGAGGACGACGTTACTGCGGCTCCAGCTCTTGGCCGAGCCCAAGTATCGGCTCAGTGACGTGATGAGGGAATCCCTCCTGCAGGACCCCCTGGCCCCCATCCTCACCGAGCCCCATCTCCTGGCCTTGGACAGACGGCTGCAGCTCATCCTGGCAGCTGTGAGGAAGTGCATAGACACCTATGGAGAAGCCACTGTGGTGGCCAACGACACCACTCAGCCCCAGGCTCCTGCGTCAGACAGAGCGAAGCTGGACACTTAAACAGCCCTGAACTCGTGCTCAGAGGTAGGGAAAACCCCTGCAAGGCAAGTGGCAGGTTTAACAGCTGGTGATTTCCACCTGCAAACACTTGCAGAGACTGGGAGGGGAAACTCTTCAGAAGATCCTCAAGAATCATACTGGGCTTCTGTGCTGGTGCTCAACCAGAGCTGCTCTGCTTGGCCAGGGTGTTGGTGTGACTGCAGCAGATCTTTGCACCCCAAACACCAGCTCTGTGGTGGAAAAGCAGTGATCTGCTGTTCTGGAGTTGGTCCTGCCCTTGGGAGGGTGGGGGAACACACGGCCTTGGTTTGCTCAGCCTGCACGGGGATGCCGGTCCTGGTGAAGGACACAAATAGATCCGAGGCTGGGGGTTGAATAAAGAGATGCCAGGAGCATTTTCCTCTTATTTGTTCTGTAATCAAGACTGTGTGTGAGAAAAGAGCAACATTACTTCACAAAGGCAGTGCCTGCCACTGAGACAAGACAACACTCAGCTTGGTCAGACCAAGAAGCACTTGCACTTACCCACCATCAGCTCTGTGCTGCCTCTTGGTCTCTTCATCGGTGATCCACCCACTCCACCTCCATCTGTACCTGCCACACAAAGCCCATTGCCTCACACAGCAGTAAAACCACTTCTTTTACCTGTCTCATGAGTGGAGGAGTCAGTCTGGGTTACAAAAGAAAGGCAGGTGTGTGCTGCCTTTGACCTCAAGGGAAAAAAATACCAAGCCAACCAAAAACAACCCCAAAAATCAAACTGCTCTGAGGCACACGACTGTATTTACAATTCAGGAACCCACCCATTCCTGGTAAAAACATTCTGCCAAAGAGGGGGGGTGGAATCTATCTCAAGTCATTTCCTTTTAAATCATTTAAATGATAACTTTAAAATTATTTAAGTTGCCATAATTCCCTGGAAAATAGAAACTGTGTCCTGCCCCCCCAATGCATTTTGAGGAGATGCAGTAGAAACTGGAGACCAAAAAAGCATGAAGGGTTATGGTAGGTATTTCAGTTTCCAGCTTTTCCACAGTCTCAATCAGAATTCTTGACACTGGGGACTTACAGACCTTTCTACTCCTGTGGACAGATGAAGAGGATTTAACTCCCTCTCAGCATGTTCAGCGTGTTGGTTTTTTTCAGTACAGCACAATGAATTACCAAAGTTTTATCTCCCTCTACCGGTGACTTTTTGTGCTCTCAACACACAGGATGAGCCCAATATTAACTCAGTTGTTGTCAGGGGATGGTGACTTGGCTGCTCCAACAGGAAAAACGTGGCAACAGAAGATAAGCTTAAAAGTAACATTATAGTTATATAGTGTATAGTTATAAGGCTGGAAGTGGAGGTTTTCAAGTTTCACTTTAGGTGATAAACGTTCTGCTTTCAGCCTGGGTTTTTTAGGTAATAAAAATCCTGGTTTCAGCCTGGTTTTTCTTCAATCAAGGGGATGTGGAAAGAGAAGACAGGGTGAAGGAAGCAAACCCATGGATATTTGAATGGCTGCTACACTAACAGGGTTGCAAGGTTGCTTTCTTCTCATTTTCACTTTCTTTTACATTATAGATACATTTTTAATGTATCTTCAAACTCAGGTGATCCAGTCAGGATCCAGCTTTCTCAGAGCTGGATGTAAAACACATCCAGGCTGAGCTGCTTCAGGTCACCACTCTTCAAATGTTTCCCTACTTCATCACGGCTGAAAATCCCCCTCTTCCCCTTCCCACTGTCTGCCCACCAGAACTCGTCCATGATTAATCACCCCGTGCTCCAAACCTTCATTAAGGGTTTTCAGAGATGGGAGTGGCCAACTTAGGGCAGCTTCTGAGCTCCAGTAATCGTGTCTGGGCTGGGAATCACCAACGGGAAGAGCTCAAAGCAGCACAAGTGGCTGAGACACTCAAACCAGACACAGGGGCCTTCTCACTGCAAAAATCAGTCATGCCAGAGCTCCAGAGGAATTCCCAGGCTGGCACATGGAGACCAAGCTCTCCACAGGCTCCGAGGGGAAGGTTCAGGACCTGGACTCAACCCTGTGGAGTTAACACCAAACTAATCCATTAAGCTGCTTAGTTTCTACTGCCTCATTCATGACACATCCTCTAAAGCCAAGGGAAAACACAATGCAGGGATGGGAAGAAAATAAGAGAGGCTGATTGCATTTAAGAATTTAAATCATTTTATTGCTTTACCTGCCATTAGGACAATCTATAACAAAAGGAATATAATATAATATATTAGCACATACAGTAAATCAGACTTATAGAGTCAGGTAACAATACAAAAATGGTCCTCTGGTTGACTATAGCTTCCTAGGGCAATAGACTTCATCAATTTGCTGAAGATAGACTAGCAAAAAATTACTTCTAAAGCCCTGAATGTTAGCTAAGGCAAAACTATGCCAATTGTGGTTTCCAACATATTGAAATTGCACACAAAGGTAAAGCTATAACTGTGTTTAATATTTAACTCAGACTTAGCTGATTTATCTTAAAATCTTGTAGGTAAAACTACAAAAGGGAGTAAACAGCAAGCTAAAAAGATGCAGTAGTGAAACTTGATTAGAAAGCCTTATATAAAAAAAATGTGCATTTTTTTTTTTCTGTGGAGCTCTAACTGGTTTACACAGTTTTTGGTGCTTTAATGTAACACAAAGAACACATATGAAGAAAAATCCTGCAGAGAGTCAAAACTAAAGAAAAAATTTTTTACCAAAAACAAAGAAAACAAAGAACCAAAAAAAGGTAGCTTTTGCTTATTCCTTAAGGACTCTGGCAGAAATCCTCTACTCAACATCTCCTGAATAGAGAACTCAAAACCACAAGCATTTCAATCCCCTTCCTGGGATTTCAGGTTCAGAAATGCTCTGAAACCTTTTGTAAAGGCTTGATACCTTCAGTATTATTCTGCATCAACAAGCAGACTCTTCCTGATTCTCTACATGCCTGGGAGAATGTTGGATTTGAATCCCTATCACCTCAGAAAGGAAATAAAAGGAGGGCTCCATCGTTAGAGTAGTTGCACAACAAATGCCAAACTGCTTGCTGTCACTCCCAAATACAAACCTATGCTACTTTATATAAATTACAGTTTAAAGGAAACCTTAAAAATTGCCTACAGTTATTGAACCGTGGAATTCAGTAAAAACTTTTGGGAAGTCTTGGTGCACACAGAGTAATGGAACACGAAGCTGGGAAATACTGAAATACATTTAAGACTCTGCAACAGATTGAACTTGGGGAAAGAAAAAATAAAAAAAAAAAAAAAAAAAGGAGTATGAAACACGTGTGGTGGAAATTCCATAAGCAAGAAAAGAAATCCAAAGACTTCTTGGATTCAAACTAGGTTTATAATGAACCATTTAAAAAAAAAAAAATGATGAATCGACAGGTTTAAAAACTTAAAACAACGGAGTGTTGCAGGAAAGTTAAAACATTCAGTTTTTCTGCCTCACATTCTCTACCAAGAATGATGGATCTCTACAGACCAGCCACCTGCAACTGATGCTGGCCAGAAATACTCAGCATTTATTTTTCCCTGGTAACAAAGGGTCACCTGAACTGATGATGATTATTTTTAAAGTCAACTGAGGATTAACAAAACAAGTCACAGGGAAAATCAAATGTTTGCTTTCAACTTCTACACCAATCTAAGCACTCAAAACATTACTAACAGCTGGACAGCTGCACATTCTTACACCAATCTATGAACTAGAGACCAGTCAGGCATTGAATGTAACATTTGGTTCTTGCCACTTGGAACAGGAAGAGTTTTAAATGGCAAATCTATGGCTGAAGGAACAACAAGAGAAAAAGATCAGGTGCAGCAAGTCAGCAAATGAATTAACAACTGCAGTAGTTCACCAGAACTATTAACTTTGAAAGCTTTTGATTTACACTTGACAAAAACAGAACTAAGCAATCTTAAACCAGTGGACACAGGTACAATTATACTGGTAAATTCCAACTGTGGCTTTCTTAGCAGCTGATGCCTCACGATTGAACCCAGGATTACAGTACCCAGAAAATGAAAAACAAAACAAAACAAAAAAAAAAAAAGAAACCCAGAAAACCCCAAGCCCCAAGAAGCTCAATTACAAGGGCAAGTTCTCATGTGAAAAGAAATACAGCAGGTGATGACCACAGCCTTAAAACCTGTCCAACAATTTGAGAAACACCTTTACAAGGATTCTTTTCCCCTCCCTTTCCTGTCACCTCCTTTCTCTATGGCAATGGCATGGTGCCAGGAGGTCTCTCCCTCCCTGAAGCAAGGCTGCACTGGCCTGAGTTGGACACTGGTGCACAGAGAGAAGCAAAACGTCTCCATAGAACTTTTGCTATTAATTTAATGGGACAGAGAGCACAGAAATAATATGCCCTAAATTAATGACAGTGCCATGATAAGCAGTTAATTTTTTTATCTTATTTTTTTTTTCCTTTCTCTCTCTCTCTTTTTTTTTTTTTTTTTTTTTTTTTTAAACCAGACAGGAAAGCTGCAAATGCCAGTGGCAACGTGGCTCTGCACAAGGGGAAATAAAGCAGTCTGCATTCGTGAAGCATGGCTTGGACAGGGAGGAAGGTTTCAGACAGACAGTGATACAAAACTGTTGTACTGCTGGATGTTCCTCTTGAGAATGTCCGAGCAGGGGCCCAGGACACGCTCGAAGCGGGGCCGGTCCAGCTTCACACATTTCAAGGGGCCCCGAGCGACAACTGTGGCAGCACGAGGACGGTTCATCAGCAGAGCAATCTCACCTGGGACAGCAGAAAGTGGGGACAGTGTCACAAACCAGCAGGCAAAGAAACCCCCCTGTTGCACTGCAAAGTGCAGGGAAGGTAATTCCCGCTTCGACGCCGCTCAGAACGACTGTCTGTGTGGTCACGTTAAAAGCAATTGTTTAAAAGAACTACTCGATGATTTTGTTATTAGTAACCCTGTCCACATTCAAGTCTCTCTGAAGAAAGCCTAAAGAATTTTCAGCACTGGTTCTGTCTGAGAAAAGGTCATGTTTCAATTTACCACGTAATTTTCCTAGTCAACAAGTAATTATTTTTCTAACAGGTAAAGAATGTTACTGCTCGGTCCTGGTATTTCTAGGAAACTTAGGGCAACACAACCATGGGATTGAAGTAAACAAACAAACAAAAAACCCACTAATGCACAAGACAAGCCTTTAACCCACAGGTGGCCAAAATAAAGAATTGGACTTCACCATGGGGCTGTGGAAGACGAGATACTTGAAGTCTCACTGGATTCCCATTTCATAAGTTTTGCACAAACATGCCAAAAGCTTTGTCTCAACTGCTAAACAACATATTTGGAAATGAAGTTTTCAACAAGCCCCTGTTTCTGTTGGTGATAACAACCCCCAACAATCCCAGCAACAGAGTGGAAGAAACCACAGCAGCAACTTTTGGGTTGGATTGCTTGTATTTAAGCAGTTGAGCTGGTTCTCTTCATGTTCAGGACTGAGGAGAGAACTCAGTGCTCCTTGGAAAATACTGTGTTATCAGAAGGGATGTTCAAAAAAAATGAGAAAAAAAACTTTTCCTCTGTGCCCAATTAAAGCTCCTGAACTCACTGGCCTCCAAAAAACAGGCTTGCTAAAGGATAAGGAGGTTCTAAGGGAGAGTTAAACCCCTGAGGGGACAGCTCTGCAGCACCTGAACACGATGGCTGGGATATTATTTAGTTCAGGAGTGGGAAACTCAGGAGAACATCGTGGGAAATATCAGAAAATACTGAAATGACATACACAGAATGAAGTCTAGTCCTAGATCCTGAGCTAAGCAGAGCTTTGGGCAGAGCCAGTGCACCTGAGTCCATCCCACTTCAGGCCTTGCAACAGAGAACTTGCTGATTTTATCATCTAAAGAGCTGAAAACCTGGACAATCAAAAGGTTTTAGCAAGGGGAAAGAGGACTAAGGAGAGAGGAACTACCTTAAACATGAGACAAAAAGTTAGGGGTTTTGAGAGAGGGGGGGAGAGGGCAGTATTTAACCATTCAATTGTAGGTTCTGACCAGGTTGTTTTCTGACCTGGAGGAGAGAAGGCTAAGGAGGGAATCTGATTATCTTATTGCTGTGCTCTGCTACATAATGAGTGACTACAAAGACAAACCCACACTGCTCCCTGCACAGTGAAAGGCAGAGAGAAAGCAACAAGCTGCAGAACAGGAAATTCTTGCCAGGCATAAAGAGAAAAAAAACTCTTCACAACACGACTGGTTAAACAGCAAAAGAAATTGCCCAGAGAGGTTGTGGGATCTCCATCCCTGGAGACACAAGAGACTCAACTGGACACAGCCCTGAGGACAATGATGCAATTTCAAATTTAGCTCTGCTCATGGCAGGGAGGTCAGACCAAATCACCACCAGGCCTCTGCTACAGAAAAGTACTCTGGAACAATCACATCCTGTGATCTGTGTGCACACCTGAATGCCAAGTGACTCTGGTACTCACCTGACACTGGGAGAAACCACAAGAGTCCTAAGAGGTAATTAAGCAAATCCATCTCATCTCTACCATCCACACAGCACAGGTAAAATGATGTTACCACAGTTGTCACTGTGGAACTCACCAAAGTAATCAGAAGGTCCCAGCCTGCCCACTTCCACAAACTCTTCGTTTTCTGACCGACGCTGTAACACTGCAGCTGTGCCCTGCAACAACCAAACCACAGCAGTCAAACAGCTGGAACTGTTTCATTCCAATAAACTCCAACATTAACTCCAATAAACTGTTTAATTCCAATCAACTCAAAACACTGAAATCCACCCAGAATCAGCTGCTTTGTAGAAATAACTGTTACAATGCCTCAGTTAAAAAGCCACTTCATAGTCCTTGCACAGTTCACCCAACTGCTCTGTAAGAGCAGCTGCTCCTTCCTCCTCTCTAAGTATAAAATGTCTTGGGTGTTTATATGTCCACAGCACCAATTTCTTCCTGGTTTTCCTCATAACAGTAAGAATAGTATGACTAGGAAAAAACTCCCAAAAAACACCAGACAGAAGACAATGAAACCTCTAGCAAGATATTAATGACTATCCAGAACAGGTCTCTACTATGCTGAGAAATTAAAACTGGTTTCAGCCAGAAACTTGTTACTTTTTCCCTGGAAGTGCCATTTGTAAAAATAGCAAAACTAAATATAAGCTTTTGCATGTCCAGCAAGAAGATATTTCTTTAGGGATCCTCTGTAAGGACATTCTTGTGTTTTGTTCTTCTCCAAGTGTTTGTTTAGGGACAGAATTAAAAAAAAAAAAAAAAAGTCAAGTTCTGAGCTTTTAATTTTGACCTCACTTACCTCCAAGATAATGAAGAACTCATCTCCTGGCTCTCCCTGGACCACAATCTTCTGCCCATCCTCAAACTGTACCGGTTCCAAAGCATCAGCTACAGTGAGACGCTCCCACTTGTCCAGAGATTCTACAGAGTTAACAGTTCATTAACAGAGTGTCTTCTCAAGGCACAAATCACACTTTTTGCTCTGTATTTATACAGAGGTCAAGGTATTTCTGGCTACATTTGTGCATCAGATATCAAGATCTGAATTAAGTGTCATTTTGGACTGACGCAGAAAAGCAATGCAGGGTTTGCAGCCACTTGTAATGAATAATCACAACAGCCTGTAATCATCATAATGTTGGGTAACAGCTTCATTACAATTTATTCCACTTCAGAACAAAAATCTTCTCACTTACCCAATATAGATACTTTACTAAGGAATTTCTCATACATATTTCTCTTTCTCAAAGTATTTCCCTACAAAAAAAAAAAAAAAAAAAAGTAAAAACCAAGCACGCAAAGTAAGTTTTCTTTCTGCTTCAAATAAAACTCAGGACAAAAATAAATTTAACCAGACATACTGCATCCTGTCTCACAGACCCCCAAACCCACAAGATTAAGTGTTTTGAAATTAAGTTATTTCAGTAATGTTTCAGTTGAGCAACATTGATAAAGTACCCAGCATTTACTGCAGCCTTGTTACATTCTCACTTAATACTGCACTGGTATTGTTTTGCTCACTAATGCAAGATTCTCCCTTGCCCTGTGCCTGAGGGATGCATGTTGAGTAATCAGCTTTCTGATTACAAAAGAGATAGCAGGATTTGGAATAAATAATTCCAGCAAAGGACAGGCACAGGCAGAAGGTCAGATGACCAGCGTAAGTCAACCCAAAAAGCACAATTCCAGGTTCTGAAGGGTACTTGCCATCAGGATCCTCCTGTAGCTGTCTCTGTCGATGCCCCACAACTTCACGTTCGTCTTGGCTTTGACGGTTGCAGCACGAGGGGTTCCATAAATGAGGGCAAGTTCTCCAAAGCTCCCACCCTCACCAACACTGGTGGCCCACTCACTGTTCACATAAACCTGAAAGGCAGAGCATCCTGTGGTCAGAGACACCCCATGTCCCTGTTGCCCTCTGTTTACAGTACAGGGAAATTCCCACATCTGTACCCCTGACCATTCCAGGGCTTTATCAGCACTCCCAGCCCCATTTTTACTTTCTTTGTCTCTCCTACATCACATTCACAGACTCTACCCATGTGAACTCCTGAGACCCTTTGATAGGAAATAAAATCCCAACAAGGTCTCTGTCAGAGAGAGCTACAAATTAGCTGGACTGGAAAATAAAAAGCCTGTCCCACACCTCAGCCAGACTCCACCCTGCACTTGTAAAACACTTCTACTGTGTCCGTATCCAAATCACTCATTTTCAAACCCAACCCAACTCACAGTCTGTGGAGCCAGACTGAGCCATTAAGGAGTAAAATAAGCTTCTACAAGTATGAGAGAAGTTGCTAAAGGCAGTGCCTGTAGAAAAGGCCTGCAAATATCAGAGTATTCTTCTGGTAGGAATGAGTATATCATTAATAAACTACCAATAATGCTTACATCCATTTCTCCTTGATCAACAACGTAGAAGTTATCACCTTCATCACCTAAAGAAGGAAAAAAATTGAATACACACTAAAAGGAGTAAATCTCTGCAAACATTCACATTTCACAGAACTGTCATCTCTGACAACTGTGATGTTTAGACTCCAATAAGGATGACACATTTTTGCACAGCTTGCAGGGTGAAATTTCACATTTTGCTGCTTTCACACTCCTCACAGCCCTGTGAAAGGGGACATCTACTGGTATCTGGGAGATCAGCAGCAATTCCAGGAGTACTGGATCCATAAACTGACATAACATGTTCTACAGAGTCATCAAATGATATTCCAACAGATAATAAATGCAATGAAACCACATCCTTGCTCCATTCACTTCAGTATGAGCTGTGCTTCAGGGAACACAAGAAAGGGTCACTGCAGCCAGACAGTGTTTTTGTATTTCAAAAAACCCCAAAAACTAACAAGAGCACCAGGCCAGAGTCTGCTCCCCATCCTCAAATCATTCACCAGTGCAAACACTGTGACTTACCTTGTTGTATGACAGTCTCTCCTGCGATGTAAGTGACAGGGAACATGGCATCAAAGATGTCACTGAAGGAGAGGACACCAAAATTAGACAAAAGCCTGGACAACTCCACACATTCACATCCTCCACCTGTACCCCCCACCCACCAAAACTGCTCCTGTAGCCTCTGTATGGTTACACTGACCATTGGCTGTGCAGTTTTGGACACTGTGACACATCCATTCTGAAGTTTGCCCTTCCAGAAACGTTTTTAACACTCCAAAGATTCCCTCCTACCTTCTTTCGTTATCGTCGAGATGGGTGAACAGCACATTCTTCTCAATAGCTTTTGCCAAAGCAGCCATAGTCTTATAATCTTTTGGAATAACCTAGGACATTGTCAGAAAAAAGCAACTGATTCATTTTTTCATGACAAATTTGTGCATTTCACAAGGTAAATAAATTATTTCAACAGCTACAAAACACTGCCTGAGTACTTCCAGTTTCTTCCAAGCACTATAGATATAAACCCAAACACAGTCAATGTTCACAGCCAGTTTGACCACATAAATAGAATCTTCTATTATGTTATGCATCTGTAAAATCATCATCCCATTCTCAGCTTATAAGTTTTTTTGCAAGAGGACAAGTATCTGTTCAACCAGTGTTTTCCTGTGAATAGCAGCAAGTCTGCTCTGCCATTAGGCCAAATTTATGTCAGTGCAGCTGTTGAAACACTTTGTTTATATATAATATATATATATGTGCATCTAATTATATATCACTTCAAAGGCAACAGGTCTAAGCAATGCATAAATGTTTTAACTGTAGACAATTTATTCTATCCACAGAAGTCTGCTTTTTATTTACTTATTTATTTAATACTCTGGGTAGAAGGCGGGTTCAGATAAACCCTTGGCCTGCAGATGTAATTCCTAGCAACGTTTAAAAGCCTTTTAGACACCTTTCTAACATAAGATGCAGCATCCTCTTCTGTGTAGACTTCTGCACTGATGGCCCCACGTCGTGATCGATACTTCACCACAGGGTTCAGAGGAGGAGGAGGAGAGATTTCATCCTCCCGGGAGTCTGAGCGAGAACCAGACTTCAGCTGATTCAACAACTGCTTTGTTTCCTCCTAAACAGGAAGGGAGACATGTTTGTGTCACTTAATCCAGCAAAGAAAAAAAAAAAAAGAAAAAAAAAAAGGCAGTCATATATCATGTTCCAGTTTCTCCTGCCAACCCGAGGGAGCTTCCTGTGTACTATTATTCCCACATTAAGGCAAACAGGAGACTGCAGCATCCAAGATCAAAGGCCTTCCAAAATAGATGGTGGATATGCCTCTCATTCATAACAGTCATGTCACAATGGTGTTTCTTTCAGTCAGTCATACTTAATTTATTAAACTATCAGTGTAAACAAGTCGATTCTACTTTCTGCCAAGACATTGCCATCACCTTTCTGATGAAGACATTCCCCAAATGCTGGAGGCACCTCCCCAGCTGCAAACCCCACAGTTCCTCCCTCAGCTGAGAGGTGTTGAAGCCTTTTGGGATTTGAAAGACAGAGGAGCAATTCCTCAGAAATCCACGTTACATGAGAAGCTTTTGAAACAGGTTTGAGTCATGGACCAACTTGATACTCATTAACCAATGTTTATTTTAGGAGAAAGAAACACCAACAGCACTTACAGAAGAGCTGGAGGAAGGATGCTGAAGGCCAGGCTTGGATTTTTTTTTATGGAAGCCACAGATTTGTCAACTTTGCACAGCATTATATGTTTTCCTTATTTCCCTCAGTTACCTGTCATGTTGCAGTGATACTGTAGAAGACCAGGGTACTTACAATAAAAGAAAGTCTAACTTGTCACACAGAAATTTGATTCTTCAGAAGATTCACCTTAATCAACTAAAATCAGATTAAAAACAAAATCATCCACCCCTGCAGTCAGAGCATTTGCACCATAACAGCTCAGATGACACTCCCAGCATTAGGAAACAGAGTTTTGGGACATTCTGTAAAAGAACAAGGAGTCTTCTGTTCTCCAAGAGCTCCAGCCCTTGTAAAAGCTGGGTTTGTCCCAGCGTCCTTGATCCCAGCTGGGCAGAGCTGCCTGGCTCCGGAGGTGCAGGGAGGCCATGGATAACAACACCACTGAGGGAAGGGCCATCAGGAAACCATTCCCGGATTTACATTCCAGCTCTCCCGGAGCCAAGGAGCAAGTGCTGCTCCATCGACTCACGTTTCACTTCCTGCTTTCTGCCCATTGATAAAATGGTGCCACATTTCAGCACGGTGGGAGCAAAAGGTATTTTAGAACTTGTTTCTATCCTCTGGTTTTAGAGGAACAAGTCTCGACAGAGATGAAATTAAAAATAGCCTGAGCAGTAATAAGTGTTTGGTTTAAACTGCCTCTCCAGAGTGGAAAACACCATCAACCACAGAAACATGTTTGTTCACATACACAAAAAAGGACACACACTTAAAAAGTGAATACCAGCTGCTGTGTTTTTCCCAGTATCACATAAAATATTAACTATTGTGATCAGAGATTGAAGCACTTCAGCAGCATTTAGTGAGGGAGCTGTGTATCCAAACACGGCTCAAGAGACTCACCAGGGCAATGCCCCACTCAGGGCAAGAAAACTGCACTGACAGAAAAAATACAACTGGTAACTTCTGCCTGATACAAAATTTAACATTAACATACTTCCTTTTAGTATATTAAGGTAGGGCATGGACACAGAAACAAGTTAGAGGTGGGTAAGAATGTATTCATTTAGAATATACCTGCTATTCTAAGTAGTCTATTTACACACTGACCAAGAGGAAGGTTTTCCCTGGATGAGACAAATCATAGAACAGAACCAGAAAATATGATGAAAAAGATCTCCAAGATCATCAAGTCCAAACACCACCAAGTCAACTAAACTGTAAATCTCCAGATATTCACATCATACATTGCAAGACTACCCTGTGCCATGGAGTGACACCCTAAAATCTCATATTTCCTAATTCCAGCGTTCTCTAAAGCCTAATATGCACATAACTGTACTGCACATATGCACTTATTTCAGAGGACAATCATGTCCAATATCCAGGATTCATCTGCCAGGCTGCACTATTGATCTCTACATTAAATGTCCATAGCTGAAGCTACATCACACAGCCAAGCCCAGCACTGGGGAGCTATTAGAGCTTTTAGCATGTATTGGTATTACCAGACATTGGCACAGCAAAAAAAAAACCAGAGGCCTTAGTCCACCAAACCAGATAAAACAAAACCATTTATACAATCAATGTGTAGTAACTGGATTCACCTAACAGCTCTCATAACCCAGAAGAGGATATTTGAATTCCTGTAGTAGCTGTAACAACCTTGGAGGCAAGCAATTTTAATGTTTCTGAACAGAAATTCTGAAGTGTGTTTAAATGTCTGCGACGTATTTTAATAACATGCCAATGAATCAGCTCTGTTTGTGTGCAGTGGGAGAGATGACTTGTCAGGAGAACAGAGGGGAAAATAGCAGCCTCACTTCAGCTTTCAGTGGTGTTCCCTCAAAAGTCAATCTTGAAAAAACAGACTGGATGAAACTGAGGTGGAGACACAGTAAAACAGCTGAACAGATTTAGAAAGCACATTGAAAAGTTGCTCTGCTTTAATAAAGATGTGACAGACATGACTTCTGGAAAGTGAGGCAGATTCAGTTTCAATCATTTTTGCTCTACCAGAGCTAATTACTGGGTTGGAGCTGGTTAATGAGAGCACTGAGCATTTGTGCTTTCCAGACACGGATGTCAGGGAGTTTGGAGCCAGCACAGGATGTTCAGTTCCGTTACTTGACAGCTGTGAAGGTACATTTTACCTGGGTAAACTCACAGCAGCACATCAGGCTGGCTGAGGAAATCACCCACAGAAAGCTGCAGCAATTTTTAAATTCAAGAAGAGAAATGCTCCACTTTCACTTGTAGCTCCAGCAGCACTGCTGGGTTGTACAGCCCACGATAACAGACCCTGACCAAAATTGTAAGAGTGATTTCAGGGGAAAAAACATGACCTAACCAGTTTAATTTTCAGCTTCCTTGTAGGCTGATGGAGTACAGACAGCCAGTTTGCACCAGAATAAAATCATCAACTTACTCAATTCCAGCATATATGTCATTAAATTCAGAGCTGGACTTGTCTTGCTAAAAGAAAATTTAAATTTCCTTCAATCTTAAATATTGTATGTTGATTATAAATCCACTACATTTTATATCCCCATGTATGAATTGGTTTACAATTTATTCTAAGCACAGTAATGCAGTTTACTTTGTAAAAGTTTGTATATCAATACATGTGGTGATGTGTTACAAATTATTAACCTGTCAGTACTTCCAAACCCTAGAATCCAAGATGAGGAAGGAGGCAATGGATTTTTAGGAACCTAATGATTAACTGCTGCAACTACACACACACACAAAAAGAAAGTGAGAGCTTTTGTTCATTTCATAAGCAAAACGTTCCTCAAATACATTGTGGTTACAGCAGGTTAGTTTGCACCTTTTGGTCATTTTCTAGTATTTACCTTGAAAACTTCTATTAAAACACAATTTCCACTATATATATTCATGCTCTCTAGTGTTAATGTCTTTTATTCACATCTGCAATTAGCAGCGACCTAGAATTAAAAAAAAAAAATATGAAAAAGGTATAACTCCCATGTACAGCAAATACTGAAAGCAGCACTTGCAAACACTGCTGTACAAGGTCACAGCTGCATTATTTACAAATCCCATATTCTGAGTACAGTCATTGTACCCAACCTTTCCTCTGCACAAGACTTTAAACTTTCCATTTCCATTGCAGCTTCTTTTCCAACCTGCCTGGATATCAATATATAAAATTTAACAGCTCAAAAGAATGGGAAATCACTGTTTCAACTGTGAATGGTTCCCATTCTCAACATCCCAGAATGCTTACAACAACAACAACAACAACAACAACAAAACCACCAAAGAGATCTCAGGACAAATGCAAGAGGAACAACAAAGCAGAACACTGAACTCCCTAGAGAAGGCAGGAACAGGCTCTCTCTTCCAGAGATCTGGAATGCAAATACTTCTATTTGACTTCACTAGGCCTGGATAATGCCACTGGCACCACTTCTGTGCTCTACCCCAATTACTGGAAACCAGTTGTCTCAATGTAAGAAGCCAAATGACATCAGCAGTGTCCATCCAAGGTCAGACTCCACAGTCATCCAGCCACAGACACCCTCGTGCACGCTGACAATCAGCTCCTATGAGTAAGCACTGGACTGGCATTACATCTGCATCCCAGCTGGATAAGTCTCCTTCTCAGCTTATGCTCTGTCCTACATGCTTTGGTATGACAGAGGTGTACAAACTACTGGAAAACATCATTTCTTTTCCAAAAGCACCATTTCCAATTTCAAACAGCCAGCACACGGACACTGGTCAAATCTGCAGCTCAGCCCCTAAATCACGAGGGTAGATTTAAATTCAGGTTGTTCCACTCTCCTTCCCTCCCATCCTGTATTTTTTACCTTCTCCAATCTTTCAAAGTACTCTCTGATGAATCCCATGGGTCTCTCAGGTCTGACTGTGCATAACTGTACAATGCAATCCTTCAGAAGCTGCTGGATGTTGTGTTTTTGGATGTAAAGTTCACATTCCCGAAGGCTACGCTCCTCCTCGCTGCTGCTGCTGCTGGAAGCTGCCATTGCTGAAGGGAAGAGAAAGAGAAGGTTAAATAACGAGTGGAAACAAAGATGCAGCTGCCTCAAAGAAAGTTATGCTGCTTTATCTTGCTGATATCACAGCATAAAACCACCTTTACCTGCCAGAGCAGTAACTAAGCTAAACTGTGAAAGGTTGGGAACTTATTTGGTTCAGCTGAAAAAGCTTCAACAACCCAAGCCCTGTGAGCACTCCAAGTCAGGGAAGATTCCACCTGAAGTTTCTGCTGCTTAAACTGAGTATCTTGTAGGGCTGGAGGATCCCACCAGAGAGGTCTGTGTGGGGTCAGGGGGATGGTGGCCAGGAGAGAGGTGGGTGGAAGCTGGAAATCTGAGAGGCCAGAATGGGAAGTATTCGGAAGTGAAACATGTTAAGGTTGAAGCCAGAGCCAGTTCTCCAAATGCCAAGGCAGAGCCTGCTAACGGAAGTTATGGAATTAGAAGCATCACTCCTAAAAACCCCCTCTCCGGTTTAAACTGGTCCCTCCTTCATAACTTATTTCATGGCTACACTGCAAACCCAAAAATACTTTTTCAACTATAAATAATGAAGAGTACAGCTTTGAACACATCTGTGATGGTGCCAGGTTTTTAAAAGACATTATGGAGGCAGCTGAGACACTTCCAAAAATGTTTGTAGGCAGTTTTTTCCCCCCTTTCAGGTTTGTATTGGGTTTGATAGTGGGGGGGCTACTGGGAGACTTCTGTGAGAAGCTGTTGGATGTTTCCCCCATGTCCAATGGAGCCAATTCCTGATATCTCCAAGATGAAACTGCCCCTGGCCAAGGATGAGCCCACCAGGGACAGTGGTAGAGCCTCTGAGATAATGTATTTAGGGAGACAGGGGGAAATGGATACTTCAGCTGGAGAAAGAAGTGGGAATATTTGAGAGAAACAGCCCTACAGACCCCAAGGTCAGTGCAGGAGGTGCTCCACAAGCTGGAAAAGGGATTCCCCTGAAGCCCATGGAGGTCCACAGGGACAAAGATCCGCCTGCAGCCTGTGGAAGTCCAGGGTACAGAGATCCACCTGCAGCCCCCAGAAGGGAGGAGGGCAGGAAGGTGTTAGTAAGATTTGGCTTTATTTCTCATTATCCTACTCCAATTTGATTGGTTTAATTTATCACCAACCTCCTCAAGTCGAGTCTGTTTTGCCTGTGATGGCAACTGGTGACTTATCTCAATCCATGAGCCCTTCCTTGTATTTTCCTTCCCTTGTCCAAATGAGGAGGGGAGTGATGGAGCAGCTTTGGTGGGCACTTAGTGTCTAGCCCAGATCAACCAACCACAAGGTTACAGAACCATTTTTAAACATATATTTACATATATATATATAAACATACATATATGTGTTACACATATATATACATACAGGCATTTCATATATTTTTTTTTCCTAAGGAAATTAACACTGTGAGATCTAAAGAAACAGGAAAGAACTTCTCAGGGCATTTTTGATGAAATACAAAGAAAGTTACCTGGTACAGGGACCGTGGCAGCAGCTTATTAATATGCAGTAAGATATGTTGATCCCGGGATCAGCTTTGGAAAGGGGGAAAAAAAGAGATTCAGTCAAAACACCTTTCAGAAATGACAAGTCACCGAAGGCACATCACGGGTTTTATCCTGCTGAGGCAGCAGCAGAGAAACTCAGGGCACAGAGGCAACACAGCACTGTGCCCCTGCAAATTCTGCTGCTGGAGATTATGGAGTTAACCCAGAACTCCCAACGCTTCGGACAGGTTTCATTCCTGTCACACTTAATCCCTGCTCAAGCACATACACACGTGTATTTTGCGTTGCATAAACACTAAAAGCGTGGCCTTCTCAGGGGCTGAGAAAGCGCCGAAAACTTCTCCAGTGGCTCCCTTTGTTTCGCAGGCTCGCACTGAAGGTCAG